AGTGGACATCCGTATCTGTGTAGCCTAGATACAGCCACTAGTAATTGTTACTGAACAGCAATGGTTGGAGAAAGGAGTTTTGGTCCCTGTGAAAGACATGTTAATTTCTATGCTCTCAGATATGTCAGCTCCACTCTCAATGGCACCTATTCTGTAGGAAGTTGATATTCTATCAAAACACAGCAAATAAAGCAACTGCAGAAGCTGGGGTATTAGTCTCTCTCACAGCCAAAACATCATTGCAGAATAGGAACATTGCCCAGAAACCAGACAGGAGGGCATTTTCCCATAACCAACCTGCAGAGCCATCTGGAGATGAGCAAATTGCTGCTCATCACAAGGATTTTCCTCCATATCCCTAGATCATCTACAAAGGAAGCCTTGAGCTAGCATAAGAGGGAAAAGAACACTTCCAAACCAGATCAGGTAAAGATGACTTAGAGCTATCTCACTGGTTGGGGAGCAAAATATGGAGACAACATTGTAAGGCTATTTCCTCTACAAATGGTTAGCAGGCATCTTCATGCCACACACAGGGTGTATGGATTAGCCTATAAAGATCACAACAAAATTAATAGTCTTTGCTGACTAATAAAGAAAAGATGGAAGTATACCTTGCAAAAAGAAAAAAAAAACATTCAGAACTTGGAGCTAACAGCTGACATTCTTAATGCTCTCCAAATGGTTTGCTTACCTTGGCACAAACAAACACTACTAACTTTTTGTAGAGGACTTGTCTTCTCAATATTGCCCATTTTGTCACTAGCTCACCAGGCAGCTTGAAGTTGGCTTTAGGTGTTTCAGTTTAAAAGTGGTATTTTCCCTCTTATAAAATTTCCCGAGAAGAAAATATAGTGCAATGAATGAAATACCCTGGGATGAGAGGATCACTAATCCACTCAGCTAAAATTAGCCTATCCTACTGCTGGGCACTGACCTCCATAGTTATTTGGCTATTGTTGAACCTGTGAGAAAACCCACCCATCCCCACCTGCTCAGCCTATTTCTCCTCATTGGTGGTGGGGTGGGTTGGAAGAGAGGTGGTGGTAGACATAGGAATTTAATTGAATGTGGGTCTACCCTTGGGGTGTGTGTATGTGTGTTTGATTCAGGTGTTTTGATCTTCTGTTTTAATGGCAGGCCTATCAGTACCCCAGGAGACTGATAGTCCTATGAAAGCTTTCACAGATGCTGCCATCTATTGATCACCCAGATTACTGCAAATTATAATCAGAACTCAGAATTCCAAAGGTCAGAATCTGGCCGTCAGAGGCAGCACACAGTAAATAATACAAATTACAGCTAAATCAATAAACAATTGAACCAAGGCTTGACTCCCCAACCTCAACACAGGAAAGTTATTGGTGGCTGGTTCCCACTAGTATTTCAAATTGAATGGGAGGAGTAAGTTGGAAGGAAATCTACGAATCACTGCCTTGAAACTGCCCTACATTAAATTGGGCGAGAGCAGCAACTCTACTTTGCCTCATGGCCGAGGCATTGTAAAGGTTAAGCTATAGGGACAGTGCAATTTATGTTGATATATTATCCTCTTGACCCAAAGACAGAAGGAAAGCACATTAACATGGTGGTGGAGAAAAGAAGCTAACCTAAAGACCTTGAGAAGTGAGCAGTATTATATAAAAATAAGCAATCCTTATGGTAGGAAAGGAAAAAAGGTCAGTGGATTGAGGCTTCCTTTGTATGCCACCCCCCCCCCCCCCC